CATTCATTTGTTTCAACAAAACGCAAACTATTTAACGAAGAATGCGCATTAGTGTAAATAACCTGTTAGTGGTCATAATGCCCGGTAAAGTTTCTAAGTTATGCGTATTTCTGTAGGAGAGAAGTAAACCGCTCATAAAAACGACATAAGTTTGCATCCATTTCCACGTAATGGAATGTTATGACCCTGGGCGTTTTTACTGTGCTAAAAGTTAGGCGGGCCGAAAGAGTGATTTTGGAGTTGTTGCTCCTTCTGTGTGCGTGTGACGGTCTATTGAATTGGCAGAGCGAATAAGGGTTTTGATTTTAGAAGATGGAGAGGGATGCGTGGACCCTCTCACGTTGACCTCTTTCTGATAGCATCTATTATGCGTCGTGATTAACCACCTCCGCATCATTCATTATTATAAAAAATATGTCCCCCACTTATTTATCGACTACTGCGCTCCTTTTTGACGAAAAATAAGTATCCTCTTTTTTGCTGTTACTATACAGTTACAGTACAGAACTGTTCAAGTTTTATAATATTCTTGAGCATCCTGGATCCGGAATGCCCGTCTGTTGAGTTGGTCTTAATTAAGCGCATTCCAGAGTTCATGAACAGTAAACAGCGGCAGACCTTTACGGGACTACAAAAATCTGTTGGTACCTCTTCCCGGGACGAAGGTTGTAACGAGAATGACGTCGCACATATTCTAATTTCGCGGGCATTGCCAATAATTAATGCCATACCCGTCATCCTCCTATCCTTTTCTGCTCAATTCTCGGATTCTTTCGATTCCGACGTCGTTTTCTTAGATGTCTTTAGTAAGGCGCTCGTCTTATATACGTGAGACAGTATTTTCGCTACTGCTCGTTCTCTGTGTGCCGTCGTCTTTCATCTTTGCTTCCCCTTTGCGCACTGGGCAATGCTTCTTATTCATTCATCGCCATTCGTGTTGGACGCACGCCGCCGTCTCTCGTCCAAAGAGTCTGCTATTACGTCTCTTTTACCAGCTCTCACCACAGCCGGTCTGACTGACAACAGCGCGCACACAGTTGAAGTG